TATAATTATTCAGTGATATTGAAGTAGAGAATCATTGAAGAGGCACGCACTGCCTCCATAAGGCCAAAGCGTCGTCGCCATGCCAACCCATGCTGCGCATTTCTAAAGCTTCCATATAAGTCAGATAAAGTACATCAAGCAGTGAATAAAGCAATCAGAAAGTATAAAATTCCAGTTAGAGTCGTATATGAGCACACTGGTAGCCTGAGGCGCACATTGTGTCGCTCCGCCCTCGTTCCTCCTCTATGTGTCAAGGCTGCAAATCCGCTACAACCGAAAAAGAGAGGTCGCCCAAAGGGGCCGTGTATCTCGTGTATATCCGGGGGACAGGATGTATGTATGCAGAAGAATGTTGTATATCAGCTGAAGTGCAAAGAATGTCCGGAACAATATGTTGGTGAGACTGGCCGCTTTCTGGAAACTCGCCTGGAAGAACATAATGGTGAGGCAAGATGACAGGAACTCGACAAGCCATGGGGCCAACATTTTCGTACCACTCACCCTGGATGTAAGCTTAACTATGGGCAAAGTGCATTCTCTGCAGTTGAAGTAATAGGAAGAGAGCCTGATCGAGCCCGTCGCAAACTGCGAGAGGCGATTGAGATTCGTGATGCCAAGCCCCATGTGAACATAAGCACCGGATGGGATTTGTTGTGAATTTTCTCAGCTTCCCCTGCTGCTACTTCAATATCACTGAATAATTATAATATGAGGCGGGTCACTCAAATCCATTCTGTTCCTGATGCCTCGTCGCGTCCCTGGTGGTAACAGTTTGGCATGGAAGTTTAACCTCATAGTGCATTGACACATGGGGCTCCGTGCTCCCCTCCTGTGCTAGAATTAACACCATAATTATTTGGCATGTACCCTCACTTCGTAGAGCACAACGGCGCGCTCCTCTTCTCCGTGATGTGCACAGTTGCACCTTCTCTCCCCCCCCCCCCCCTCTGTATAGAGGTGACATAACTCGCATCATTTTATTTTTTGGCGCTACACTCTGCGTAACGCCATTCACAGAGCACAATGCGCGCTACCTTCTGCTGCTTCTCCTCCGTGATGTGCTAGTTGCGCCTTTTCTCTCTCTCTGTCCCCCCCCCTTCTGCATACCAGGTGACATAATTCGCATCTTTTTTGGCGCTACACTCTGCGTATATACTGCTCTTGTGTGGCTTCCACGGTATTCATTGTTATTACCTGACGATGGCCAAGTGCCGAAACGTAAAAATAACGGAACTGGTTCGGATCTGATGTGCAGCGCTATGGGAATGGGTGTGTCCACCCGAATTCTTTTCACAGATGAAGCTGCAGGAAGCCTCAGCCCTTCTTCAAACTTGGTTCTCCTCTTCCCGGAGCGAGGCAGCTTGGCGGTTTGTACAATGGTCTTGGAAGCTGCAGAGGAGCGAGTGTCAATTGTCTTTTATTTTGCAGTGCCGGCGAGAGGGATTGATCCCCAGATTCATTTAGAATTGTGTGCGGAAGCCAGCATCAACGAGTCACAAGACCATCAGAGAACACAGGAGACATCAGTACTGCCGCCGTCTTCTCTGCGATGCCATCGAAGACCGAAATGCGCAGAGAAAGATTACCGCGGGAGGCGATACAAGCAGTCCAGAGAGCAACTGTGGACGTTTACACAGTCGGACTACCTATTGATCCGTTCTCTTCAACGTGCAGTGGTTACCGAAGAACGAATAAGTTCCAACGCCAGACTAAATCGGAAGATTTCTGGACTTCGAGAGGCGGATCAACGTGTGGCGGGAACCAACAGCTCACCCCGCGGCCCAACTCCTGTTGCCGCCGTTGGTGTTGCGTCACCCAGTGGGCATACGGCCAATGCTGAGCCAGTCCATGAGCGGGCGTTGGTGGTGGACGACTGTGTGTCCGACCAGACAAGGCGTCTGCTGGAACATGGACCTAGCTTTGTCCCGTCGACGGGGAGGCTCACCAAGCAAGAACGAACAGATATTGAGACATCGATAGAGAGGATGGCGTTCACCCTCCGGTGGCAACAGCCCCAGCCTCAGGGTGTGGACCTCAAAGAGGAGGACCCACCGCCAGAGATCAGACAGGACAAGAAATTGTGGAAGCTGAAGAAGCGTGGCTTTAAGCAGCCCCCACAGATGGACGACAAAGACGAAAGGAACATGGCCAACTTCTGCGACGAGGTGTTACGGGCTTATGACAGACACACACCCTCTAAGCCCAATCTGACGCAGGAGGAGCGGGTGGAGCTGAAGCGACTTCGCACAGACCAAGAAACCATCATCAAACCATCGGATAAAAGTAAAAAACTCGTTGCTATGAGACAGGAGCTGTATTTGCAGAAAGCAGAAGACATATGTAGGACTCAGTGACCAGTCAAGGCCCCATTACCAATCACGGTCCCCGTGACCAGTCAAACAGTCACAAACCCCCCATGACCAGTCACAAATTAGTTTACCAGTCACAATGCCCGATGACCAGTCACAAATCACCATACATGTACATGTGTAAAGTACACAGTTCGTGACTGCTCGCAGAGTGCTTCGTACTGCAGGATTTGTTGTGGAAACTATAATTCCCTTTGAGCGGTCACAGAATACAGTTGTGACCACTATAACTCCATGCGAACAGTTACATGCGGAATGTACAGTTGCAACCACTCTTTCTCTGTGACTAGTCACAGGCAGAATATAGGTACTTCTGTATTACAAGAGAGATTGGAAGCTTTGTCACAACTCTGAGTTTCACATATTACTACAATCGTCAGGCAACTGATGGCTCCTAAACGGGCAGCCTGAACATAAGGGGGAGTAAGGTGGGAAATTCTGAGGGGTATCATAGGCGACGCGTATCATAGCGCAAGAGTCAGGTGCAGGCGTGAAGTTGCCAAGTCTTCAGACTTGGGGCTATGCAGCAGCAGTTCCAACCTGAATGACATAGAAAAGAGCTGGGGACTTAAATGCCAAATCCACACATGCCCACACCATTACACACACATACACCCACACTCTCTCCCTTTTCTCACATACACTCACACGTGCGTGCGCGCGCGCGCGCGCACACACGCACACACACTCATTTTCTAAATCTCTCTCTCTCACACACACATTCATTCTCTAAATCACACACACACACACACACACACACACACACACATCCACACACACACACACATTCTCTCTCTCTCTCTCTCTCCCTCTTACACACACATTATGATACATTCTCTTTCTCACGCATGCACACAAACACACACACACATGCGCGTGCACACTTACTCACACACACACAAACACACACACGCACACATATACACACTCACACACGCGCGCACACACACACACACACACACACACACTCACACACACACACAAATAGGCAGCGGGACTACCAGCTAGAGTCACGTGACCTTGCGGACAAAGTTACGGAAGTAGAACTTATTTTATCTCTTTTTCAACCAATCCACAGGCCAAGAAGAGATGCGTAGACGGAAGAACCGTACTCTTGGTGATACTGATCGCAAACATGATTAATTCCTCCAGGCCATTGAGCACCCAATTCTAAACCTTATCTATCCAAAGTTCTTGTCAAAGCAGCATGCCAGTTCAAGAACATCTCGTCAGACATACATATCGATACATGTCTGGTGCACTCTCACTAACAAGCAGGCATCGCAGGCTACATTCGCACCAGCACAAGAAGTTGTAGTGAGTGAATATTTCTATAAAATTAATAATTAAAAGTAAAATACGTAATGGACAAATGAAGGTGTGGAGGATCGCCCAAAAACACTGACAAGGAGACAGTAAACGGTACACAGTACTCGTATGCATGTACTTATAATACACGTCATAGCAGCACAACGAGAAAGACAATGTACCATAATGTTACATCAATAAATTTTACAGAGTTATTTTGGGAGTAGGAATGAAGATGTGTTCGAAGCAGTTAACTGCGTAAGCACTACGTTGAGCCACAATATTGAAATACAGTTTCCTGCAGTCAAAACAAGACACTCACACTTCTCTGGTCTAGTTCGCCATTCTTATCGATAACATGACTTGATTTAATTTCTTACGATGGTTCTTGAGAATGGATCGATGATGTCTTGAATAGATGTCTTCCCTGAACGATTTCAACTGAGAGGCAGTTTCAGTTTCAACAAGTTGGACATTGTCTTTCTGTGGAGTCTTCCAAAAGAAAGACAGAGCTACACACAAAGGTGCTTGATGTACTCAGTACCTTCTTGGAGATGCACATATTTTCATTTCCATCTTCATTATATTTTCGTCTCTGCATCGTCGACGATGTCCACTTCTGACTCCGTAATCTTGTCACCCATCCTCTCCAAAAACACAAAGCGAGTGCTGCTTGTATGCTGGATCAGTTGAAGTCAGTCTCCGTTCTAGCAAGATTGGCATGCAAACAAATTACATGACTGAAAATATTCCGAAATAGCTTTTCTGAACGACAAAGTTTGTTCTTCAAATATGATGAATAGCACAATCTACTAGCCAGAACGTCCTCTCAAAAGAGATCATATCTGAAGCCTGCAAGATTTTCGACCACCCTCCGTTTTGGAGAGGAGCCCA